GCCCTCGTCCCAGGTCTGCCGCGTGGGGCTCGCTGCGAGGGCTGCTTCCGGACCGCCGCCCGCCCGAGATCGCGACATGTGCGCGGGGCCCGCCATGTCCCCGCCCGCGCGGACCTGCGCCGACCTGCAGGGTGGGGAGCGCGGGAGCCGAGAGCCCGGGCCCACACAATGCGGCCGCGGGGGCGGCGGTGCCGGAGGCCGGGCGGAGGGCGCGCTGCCGGCGGGGCCGCGGCCCAGCTGCCGGGTGGGTGGAGCTGGCGCAGGGTTTGAACTGCCCCGGGCCGGGCGGAGGGCTTTCTCCCGGACCAAGTCCGATTGGAGCGGGTGGCGATCTCCAGGGACCTGAACCGTTGTTCAGGCTCACTCCGGAGCTGCTCAGGTTAACACCTGTTGCAAGCTCTCCCGCTCCCAAGTGAGCTTTTAAAAAGCTTTGGCCTTTCTTTACTGCAGTTACCTAGGTCGATACTGAGCATGCTGGAGCAGCGGTCCTGTTGCTACAGCTTCAAATCTGAGAAGGTAGTAGAGAAGCAGCAAACCTCTGTCTGCTACGTGTGCTTTCTGGAGTGCTCTACACTGCGCGAATGGAGAGCTCTCCTTACTACATGGAGTAAGGGAAAGAAATTCACTTACCAGGTCACCAGTAACCTTTTTAAGCTCAAAGAAGTTAATTCTTTAAAAAAACTTAAGCCTGTGATTTTTTCAGAAAGGCCTCTTTATTTTTTGTTAGTAAGCGGCTATATTAATACGGAATTCTGTAAGCTTTTGATGTTGCTTAAACTCAAAATAACACTATCAAGATGGAATTATTTACCAGAGGGCTTCAAAGAAGTACTGCACTGCTGTAACCTAAGACTTTCAGTACACGATTGAATTAAATACTCAGCTTCTTGGTTACTATAACACCGCCCATTTATAAAAATAGAGGGGGATAATGACTTGAATATTGCTAACGTTGGGAATATTATTGGAACTTTTATCTGAAAGTGCTGTGATTCAGTCTTAATTTGTGTTGTCATAGCTCTACAAATGATAGAAGTTGGCATTTAATGTAATGTTTTGCAACACAGTTATTAGTTTCCTAAATTTTGGCTGTAGCTAAAGTTAAATTGTAATGTCTTGTGTTGCTATGTATTTTTTAAATACCTTTCATTTGCCTAGTAGCGTGCATACTTTGCCAGTCCAATAGTCAGTAGACAGTTTACTGTGTGCCTGGAGTATATATAGTATGTCCTCTGAGTAAGGACAAAGGAAGAAACAGTATTGTAGGCACTGATTCTATGTTTTCACAACACTAATAATGACCTTGTTCTTTTGTGTCTCCTGAAGGTAGAATATATTTAATCATTGTCTTGTATAGGCTTGAGCAGCTTTGAAAAACTGTTACAATCGTCTAAGCAGACCTCCATTGTAAGAAAGCAACCCTTAGGAAATAGTTATGAAAATTTCTTAGGGTGTTAGCATATCAGCATGATGTTAATCTTGACCAGTCCTTAGAATGAGTGATTGATGTCTGGATTTTTCCCAGTTGGAAAAAGTAGTTACACTTTGAAATTTGACAAGGAGTACAGTATATTTTGCTAGAATTTATATTCTGATCTCTAAAACTTGTGGTAGTAGTCAGGTATGTGATAAGTAGCCAATACAGTTGTACCTAACGTTTCTGTCATAGATTTAATCAGAAATTTAGAACTGAATAAAAAAATATTTTCATCTTTCTGTGTAAGCATATTGGAAGTTAACAGTCACTACTTGAAAGTATTAGAGCATTATGCCACTGTTGCCTGCCAGCCTGGATAAAACACCTCCACATTCGTGTCACCAGGCCTGTTAGATGTCGGGGGATGTAGAACTAAGTATCTTACTGACCTTAAAAAAATCCCCTGTTAAGTTAATTTTCTTGAATATTCTCTAACTCTAAGAGACTTGTTTGCATTTCTTTGAAATACTTTTTTGTCTGCAATGTTTTAAACAGTTGTCAAATCTAAGAATTTTGTTTTATAAAAATGTTTTACTGCATTCAGCATGCTGAAGCTGAAACTTGCTTCTTTGTGTTGAATATAATATAGCATTTCTTGCATAAAGCACAAAGTATTTAACAAACACTAGTGTGTTTTTAGAATAGCATGTCAGGAATTAGCTTTGATAACTTTATTTTTAGTAAAAAGTGAAAGGATAAGAAACAGGATTCCTGATTATTAAATTTAAAAATGCTATATTCTTAGATTATATTAGAAAAGTTTCCTTAACTACTGTTTGTTCTAGAAACTGGAACAGCTCAATCAGTATCCGGATTTTAACAACTACTTGATTTTTGTTCTTACAAAATTAAAATCTGAAGGTAAGTAGGGCTTGTCTTACTCAAAAATGTCTTTAAGACCTATGAAGATACATTGAGAATTACTCATTTCCAAGGGTTTCATTTTAGAGTTACTACTACTCCAAGCATTCAAATGCTTCAGAAACTTTCAGCTGTTAACTGTTCGTATAATAAACTCCCTCCTTAAATGAAAAAATATGGTAGTCTACTTTGACTTAGTTTCACTACTTGTATATGAATATAACAATTCAATATACAGGTTGAATACAGTATTTAACTAACTATATGTGTGTTCAGTATAGGAAAACTTGCAGTCATTAACTAAAATGAAAAATCACCTCTCACCTAGGGATAATTACCAATCTCTTGAACTGTAATTCATATGCTTTTATGTGACCATATACTACTTTTAAATTCAACAGAAACTGGAATTATTCTATTGTAAATAAATTTTATAACTTAAACCTTCACAGAATATAATTTTAATTAGCTGTTGCAATTTTGAATTTAAAGTACTTTTATTATGAGACTGGGCATGTTGGTGCGTGCTTATAATCCCAGCTCTTGGTAGGCTGAAAACAGGATCACTACAAGTCCAGTCTACGTAGTGAGACCCTGTAGACCCTGTATAAATAAAGTACTTTTATGACAACTTAAAGCCTAATTGCCTGATCTTGAAGAGACATGGTTCTCTGATAGTTCATAATAACAATATGTCTCAGTGGACTTAATTTCACAAATATTTATTGAGCACAACCTGTTGCAGGCTTATGGGAAGTAAACGTGAACAAAATAAAGATCACTGCCCTCAAGGAGCTTACATTGTACTGAGGAGTGTTCTTCATAGTATTACTTACGTAGAGAGTACTCTTCCTGGAACAATGTGAGACACATAGAAAGCAGTGTTTTTGACAGTTGACTGACCTATAAGTGAAAGTGCCCTTCTTTACTAATCAGTATCTTGGAAGCCACACTAAAAATACTGCCTTGGAGTTAAAAAATAACAAGTTTCATTTAGATACTGACACTGAGTTGTTCAACCTTTCTTGCTTCTTTCAGCTATAAAATGCCTGTGTTAGACAACCAGACCATCTGTAAGATTTCAGCTCCAACCTCTAGCAGGTTAATGGTTTTGATGTGTGGTAAAATTATACAAATTTTGTATTTAGATTTCGATAATTGATACACATGATTTTCTAGCTAATTCTGTGTGCGCTTTAATTAGTGGTTGAGGGACAGTCAATTTTAAAGTTCTAGGTCTAGGTTTTAAAAACTAAAACTTATTATGTCTTTAAAATCTGCAGTTAATAGTTTGGTAACTATATTTATGACACATTCTTTGTTAATATAGGAGTTTTCCTTAAGCAGTTGTACACAATAATCGACACTTGGAACTAGGGATACAGTTCAGTGGTAGAGCACTTGCATGTGTGAAGCCCTGGCTTCTGTCCCTAGCACCACTAAATGAATAAATAATCCACATTATTGGGTTTTAGAAAGAACTGAAATATTTACTAAATGGAAATTTCTAATCTGTTTCAATTTTTTAATATATTCACTTAGTTGTCTATTCTGTCTTATTACCATAAATTCCACATAATTTGTTAAAATCTTACAAAAGCATTACTGGTGTGTAACAACACTTCAGAAGCACTTGAAAATTATGATTCAAATAATGGCAAGAGAGTTGAGGGGAGAAACTGTCTCCAAAAAGGGCTTTAATTACAAAACATTAAAATGTTGGAAAAGAATTTAGCATTTTCTTGAACCTAAAATATGTATTTCTTCTGCTCAATAGGCAGAGTTTCTCAAAGGATATAGAAGTTTTGTATTTGTGTCACACTTGATATTTCTTGTATTGACCCATGTATTATTTTTCCCCGGGGAAGATTGGGATGGAAGTTCGCCTTATCTAGTTTTCTTTAAAAAAGAAAACCAAAAAAACTTTCACAAAAGAGAAGGAACACAAGTAGCATCTCTAGTGCAAACACTTGTTTACTAATCTTATTGCTGACTCATGAAGTGCAAAGTTAGATTCTAAAAAGACCCAAGGTGAGGTGATTTACTTCTCTCACTTTATTATAAGTGAACAGATTGAGGCCCAGTAAAGTTAGAAAATTTAGAAAGAAATAGTTGGTGGTTTTCTAAAGTGGATTTTGGTCAGAGGGTATCTTTATTTTTTATTTTACTTTTAACATTGCTACAAGATTTTTATTTGATGTTCACACTGTTCCTTTGCAGGTGGATATAGAAATATATACATATTTGATGCTTGTTAACTAGTCAATTAGTATAAAAGCAATTAATTTTAAAAGTTACACCTGAATAGTACTGACAAATGCCATTATTCATTTCAAAGCATCAGTTAAGTATGAGATTTTTTTAGAGGGTATCTTTAATTATAAATTGCTTTACCCTAGTTACCATTTCATCTTCGACCACTTACTTATTTTAGTCTTTTTGAGACAAAAAGACCAGGCTGGTCTCCAACTCACAACAATCCTGCCTCAGCCTCCTGGGTGCTGGGATTACAGGCAAGTGCAACCACACCTGGCTTTTACAACATTTATTGTTAAAAACAGGTATGTTCCTTGTAAACAAACATGCATGCCATTTAAGACAATTACAGTAGCTAGTTGAAAAATTGTGACTGAAAAGAACTTTTGACAGGATGACTTAAAATTTTCCAGGATGTATTATTGCAGTGACTGGAATAGGGTTTACATGCAGAAAAGCTACTCTGTTTGCCTCTATACAGAGGTTTGACTCTTCACTATTTCAATACCATTCAGAATCTGAGTGCATAATACTAACTAGAACAAGCTTCAGGTATGTACTTTTTAATAAGGAAGGTAAAACAGTGTTGTAATAGTGTATTTTATTCCATACATGAACTTTTCCAGTTCTTAGAGAGGAAGGTAATACTGTAGAGTAGTTCAGAGTGTGTACTATGGAGCCAGACTCTTAGGGTTGATAATTTGACTTCCTTGCCTAGTGGACCTGTATAACTGATGTAGAACTTCATTTGTTCAGTGAGGTCTAGATAATATCTGTCTCAAGTATGTGAGAATGAAGTGCACTCACTATTCTAAAGTACTTAAAAAGTGTTTAGTGCATAGTCATTTAGAAGTTAACTTCTGCTGATGAAGCCACTTAAAGCATCTGTTGAATTCTAACATTAAATTGCTTCTTAAAAGTTTATTAATATCAATGACCTAGGGGCTGGGGAGATGGCTTAGTGGAATAAGCATTTCCCTGGCAAGCGCAAGGGCCTGAGTTCATTCCCTGGTTCCGCAAAAAAAAAAAAAAAAAAAATTAATATCAGTGACCTACACTTTTTAAAATAGGCTTTATTTTTGAAAATTACTGCATTTCTTTATGCTCATGCAAGTAAAAAAATACATTAGCAGCACTTTGTTGTGTGAAAGTGACCCTCGATGTTCATTGTCTGCTTAATTTTTTAATTGGATATTTTTCATGACTAATACTTGAGCCCTGCAATGATGTTTATATTAGGTAATAATAACACCTTAATAACGGAGCCATATATGAGCTAAATTAACTCATTAACTCTTCCATTGATTTTTTTTTTTTTTTTTTTTTTTAGCAAGGGGCAGCTCTTTCAACCCAGATGGTATTTGAAAATATTTTTGGCTCTAATAGTAGAGGAGGGGGAATGCTACAGGCATCTATGACCAGGGATGGGGCTAAACATTTTACAATGTACCAGGCAGTACCTTACAACAGTTATTCTTAAATTAGTGCTAAGATTAAGAATCTTGAACTATCAATTGAACAGCCAATTTTTTGATAATCATTTGTAACCATTTTTTTCTGTTGCTAGTTGTAGAAAGATAATTGGAATGTTGTGATCATCCTCTGAATATAAAGCTACTCTTCTTGGCATTTTTGTAAAATGAAAACTCTAAAACTTAAGCTGCTTTATTTTATTACAGATGAACCCACAAGATCATTGAGTGGTCTCATCTTAAAGAATAATGTGAAAGCACATTTTCAGAACTTCCCCAATGGTGTAACGGACTTCATTAAAAGTGAATGTTTGAATAATATTGGTGACGCCTCTCCCCTGATCAGAGCCACTGTGGGTAAGTTATATACATTTTTGCTTATTGTCTTTGTAACTGGATTGTTTTACAAGTGACAAATTGGGTTTTTTTTTTACTTTTTTTTTTTTTTTTTGGCAGAACCGGGGATTGAACTCAGGCCCTTGCACTTGCCAGGGAAGCGCTTATTCCACTGAGCCATCTCCCCTGCCCCGACAAATTGTTTTTATAAGAATTTTTGTTATCTATTTCATGTTACATTTTCATGGAGATATTTTCATTGGGATTTAAATATTTTTTAAAAACGTTGATGATTACAGTGAAGTGGAGACCAAAGTCACTCATAATTGCTCAAAATTGCTTAAAGCGAAGTCATCATCGAATGATATTTAGGACCACTACCTTTTCTTTGGATATATGTGGATTGAAGTTCCTTCCTGTCTGCCTGTGTAATGCTGGGGATATAATGTCTAGTGTCATTTGCATGAAAAACCACTTTATTTTATAAAATCAATTAAGAACAGTATTCTAGATTTTTTGTGCTTGGCTTTTGTTTCTATTTTTGCCTTTTCTGTACCAAATTAAGAATTTTTAAATTTTTCTCAATGCATAACTTGTTAGAGAAAGACCAACTTTCAGTTCATGTTATATTAAAATAATTATAATAAGGGAAATAAATCAATTTAGGAGCACATACAACTGGGAGACAGCAGGATACCTGTACTCCAGAGTAGCCTACTAAAGGGCAACATTCAGCACAGCTTGGACTTCAGCAGCTGTATTTTACAAGGACTTGGAAGAGTTCTGTAATTTTATCAGTTTCGTTGAACAGAAATCGGTGGAATGAATCAAACTCATTAAGAGTGCCTTAGTTTTATATTTTTTGTTTTTTAATAGGATAAGTATTATTCATCTTTTATAAGGCAGAAACTCTGATTTCTCTACATATATTTTTGTATTAAACAGTGGTGTTAATACTGCCTGCAAATTTATGCATAGAGGACATTTGTAGTTTGAAAAAAGGTGACTCAGTTATCCTGCTATACCCTCATGTACCCTCTTCAGGCCTTACTTTTGACATGGCTGAAACAGTTGCTGGAAGGTACACCAACCTTTTCTGTTTAAAATCAAGGAGTAAGATCTGCATAGATGCAGTGGGATGAAATTTTGAAAATGATAGCCTTCTTTGGTGACAAAGCAATTCAGCAAGGAGGAAGAGAGGACACTATTGACCTGAGATGGTTCCTTAAGCAATAGTTCATTAAACACCTAGCTTTGAATGCCATTTGGTCCAAACTACAGAACTTTGTGTCTTAAATTCTGAAAGGCTAAGAAGTAATTGTATTGGAAAAAGAAAAATTGATGTTCTCTTCTAGTGAGTGCTGCATTTCTTTTTCTTTTCTTTTTTTTTTGTTTTGTTTTGTTTTGTTTTGTTTCTTTTGGCTGGTTATTTATTTGGTGCAGGGTCTCACTACACAGCTCAGGCTCGTAGTGATCCTCCTGTCTCAGCCTCCCCAGCACTGAGATTACAGGTGTGCACCACCATGTCTGGTTTCATTGACTGGCACAGCATGCCCAGGTTCTGGGGCTTGGGCATGCAGTACCAGGGATTAAAGCTGGATCCTTGTTCTTGCCAGGCAGGTGTTTAGACCACCAAGGTATCTCCCTATTTTTGGATTTCTTTACTTTTTTTTTTTTTTTTTAATTGTGGTACCGCAAATTGTGAGAAGCTGCTGAAGGTACCTGTAGAGAAAGGTGCCAAGTGTTTAGTTACTTGGTTTACTCAGCTTCTCTAAAAATATACATAAAATAAGGAGTTTCAAATACAACTGTAGCATGTTTCCAAGTTACATGTTTAATTTAAGAAAGGGGTGGACTGGGGAGATCTAAGCACCTGATTGGCAAGGGTAAGGACCCCCAGACACACTGTGCCAGTCCCAACACCAGGTGTGGTGGTGCATGTCTATAATCCCAGCACTGGGGAGGCTGAGACAGGAGGATCACTGTAAGTCTGAGCTGCGTAGTGAGTCCTGTACCGAATGAATAAATAAATAAGCAAATAAATGATTTTTTAAAATTTGGGGGTGTGAAAGTGTGAGAAGTATAGATAAAATGACAGTTGACTGAGTTGTTGCCTGTTGTTAAAGCTGAATGATGAACGTATTCAGCTCATTTTGTTTCTCTTCCTTTTTTGTAGGATGTGTATTCCTTACCTGAAATGCTTGTGACCATAAATGCTTTAGGTTTCAGAGTTTTCTGGACTTGTATAGAGTACCTGTTGAACATCTCTTGACCAAACTTCAAGCTGTTATGACATTCAAATCTTTTGATATCACAAAGTTTATATTTTTGTGTTTTCAGGTTAAGGTTGCTCAGCCTATATAGGTGAACTTTTCCATTTTTTTTTATTTTGCGGTACCAGGGATTGAACTCAAGACCTGGTTCTTGCTGGGCAAGCACTTACTCTCTACTGAGTTATCTCCCTAGCTCAACTTTTCCATTTTTAAAAAAGTTTGTAGAATTAACTATTTTAGTTATCAACTTGAAATAAGCACCTTGACCAGTAAATTAATCTGCTTTACTTTTGTCCTCCTTTCACATTTTTATTATTATTATTATTTTTTTTTTTTTTTCTCGGAACCAGGGATTGAACTCAGGTCCTCGCGCTTGCCAGAGAAGTGCTTACTCCACTGAGCCATCTCCCCGACCCCCTTCCTTTCACATTTTTGACATAGATTAAAGAAGGTGATTAAAAAGTTGGATTCACCTATAAAGATTCCTCCCAGGAGAGGGAGAAATTTTGTAGGCACACCATTAATATTGTTTTCTTTTGTTATTTTGGTTGTTTGTGTTTTAATTTTTTTGTCTCATCCAAATCCCTTCAGAATAAGTGCTTTTTACTTTCGATAAAGCTGAATGTTTTTGCTTTAGAAATATTGATGTGCTTATATAAAACATTGTTGCTTCAAACAACTAAATATAGAAAATTTTTATTTTAATCCCTAAATTTTAGTTCACATTTTAAAAATCTAAAATGCTTTTAGGACATTTTATAAGTAAAATAATTTTTATGTGCTTCTGAAAGGCACCTCTAGGAGTTACCAGTCCTTCATCACTCAACCATAGAACACTGAGATATTTTTACTGCCATAGCGTAAGTATACTACATTATTAAAGTAGGATTCTGTTTGTTTAAACCAGGGATTTACAGTCTCAGCACTTGACATTTAAGACATTAATTCTTTGCCACTGGGCTGACTTCTACCCAGAGGACGCCAGTAACAGCTACGTTGTACCTTGTGCCACTGAAAATGCCTGTGTGTAGTGCGCTCAGGGGTGGAGATGGAGGTGTGCCTGTTTGAGCTCCTTAAGAGCAAAGCGCACATGCCATTTCTTTTTTTTTCTTAAGACAAATTTTTTCTTTTTATTTATTTTTTTGGCAGAACCGCGGATTGAACTCAGGCCCTTGAGCTTGCCAGAGAAGCACTTATTCCACTGAGCCATCTCCCCAGCCCCCTTTTTATTTAATTTAATTTAATTTACTTATTTATGTATTTATTTTGGCAGAACCAGGGATTGAACTCAGACCCTTGCGTTTGCCAGGCAAGTGCTTATTCTACTGAACCATCTCCTGGCAAGTTCAAGGGCCTGAATTCAATCCCTGGTTCTGCCAAAAATAAAATAAATAAAATGTTCAGTCTGTTCAGTATGCAGAGAATCTTGCCGAGGTGATATATTTGGAAGGGATCATATTTTAATGCCGAGTCTGTTGGAGAACTGTAAACTTGATTCTCTAAGCAATATATGGCTTGTGATTCTACTATTTCAGTCAGCATCCTTTCATATAAGTTTATGTACTTGTGGGAAAGTTTCTGTCACTTCAGTTCATAGAAATGGTATCATTGGGTCAAGGGATTGTTTAAACATTTAAGGTTGGATGGATGGATGGATGGATGGATGGATGAATGAATTTATTTTGGTACTGGGAATTAAACTCATGACCTACACTTGCCAGGCAGATACTGAGCCTTTGAACTATATCCCCAGCCCATGTAAGATTTTAATAAATATTGCCAAGTACACTGTGTTTTGTCTTAATAGGTTCTAAACTGAAAATTACCTATCACTTTTTGCAGCTATGTTAGTTATTAGATTTTTCAGAAATTGGGATTGTAGGGCAGTTAAATTTGTAATTTATCAGCCTGGCAGCATTTTTTAATGCTTACTAGATGTAGTGATTGTTAACAATCTGTTAGTAACCAAATTGTAGATGGTTTCTAATTTGCATACGTAAGATGTGGTTGTTGTAGTGTTTGTTTTTAAGATAGATTAGAGTGCTTTCCTCATTTCTTTTGTATTTTGGTTTAATAATTGGCAAGAATCAGGTCTCTGCTTTTGAGTGTAAGGAGGACTTTTTATATTTGTTTATTTCTTGGCAAAGGTTTTAAGGGTTTAAAATTCGAAGAAAGTTCATCCACATGGTGTTTAGTAATTGCAATTTACTAAATGATAAACATTTTACATGTGTATCATTGAATTTTCAAGATAGGCCTTTGAAAAAAACACTTTTTCATTTTTACAGATTAATAATTTGCAGTTTAGAGTATAGCTTGCCTAGTGTCAATTTATACCCTTATGGTACTAAAGATAATCCATAATCACTAGGAATATTACTTGCTAATAGTGTATTTACTGATACAGAGAAGATAAGTTTGCATAAGCTGTACCAAAGTTGAAATAACCTGGCCAATCAGTGTGCCATTTAACCGCAGGGATTCAAGATCGCCATTCTGGTGCTTTATCCTTGAGTCCAGTATGTAGGAACTATTGTAAGCACTCTGTGGCCTGTGTACAGGACCACAGGGAACTAGTCTGATTGTTCTCAAGTGGCGCTCCTCTACTGTTTGTGTGTGTGTGTGTGTGTGTGTGTGTGTGAGAGAGAGAGAGAGAGAGAGAGAGAGAGAGAGAGAGAGAGCGCGAGAGTGAGAGCGAGCACATGCATGCATGTGTGGCCAGATCAGCCCACCCTAGGGGCGAAGGCACTCATGGCATGTGGTGTAGGGGATCAAACCAGGGTCCCTGCACTTGCCTAAGCAGGTGCTTAGCTATCTCACTGGCCCATCCTCTACTTTTATTTTTCCTTTCCATTACTCTTGACTGATTCTGGGTTAAGTCAGGGAGCTGTTCTTAGTTCCTTGATATTGTACATCTTTTATTTGAACCTAACAACGTACAGACTCATCATTCAGTGATAAGAGCTACTAATAATATTTTAGTATGTTTTCTCTATTCTCTTTTGAATATAATTTTTATAGCATAGGAATTAAAATTTAAATAGCTATCCTAGATACTGGTGGAGAAAAACTAGTTGTAGTCTTTTCTAGAGATACAGTACTAAGTAAAAGAAAAAAAAATTTTTTTTGATAACCAAGAATTGAACTCAGGATCACACACTTGCCAGGCAGGTGCTGTGCCACTGAGCTATACCCCCAACACTCTTGAGTGAGTTTTTTTTTTCATTTCATGTATTTGGTACAGGGTCTCACTACGCATCTCATACTCCTAGTGATCCTCCTTTTTTTACCCTCCCCAGCGCTGGGACTACAGTTGTATGCCACCATGCCCGGACTCAGGTGCTGGCTCATTGGGGCCGGCACGGCTTGCGGGACCCAGGATCAAAACCTGGTCCCTGCACTTGCCAAAGCAGGCGCTTAGTCTGGTGAGCTATCCCTCCAGCCCTTATTCTAAGTAAAGTTTTTTTAAAAACTTAACAGAAGATATAATGTTAGGAAACAGACCTAATTCGTGCTGTGGTATTTCCATAGATGATGGTGTGATGATATGGGAGCTGTTAATGTTCATATTTAGTGGTTTGGAAACCTGAAGTTGATGTGAGTATTTTCTAAGTGTATGTTGCTCATATGGCCAGCTTTCCTAAAAAAATGTGTATTTTCTTTCAAGGTATTTTGATTACAACCATAGCCTCCAAGGGAGAATTGCAGAATTGGCCTGACCTCTTACCAAAACTATGTAGCCTATTGGATTCTGAGGATTACAACACCTGTGAAGTAAGGATATTTGCTTCTTAAGGGTTTTTTTATTTTGTTTTGCGGGGTGTTTGCTTTTTTGGTCATATTGTATATTAATACTCTGGGAAAATATTTCCTCTGAAACATACAGCTTTAAGATAGAAATCTAACTTTTGTGTGTGTGTGTGTGTGTGTGTTTCTGTAGTACCAGGGATTGAACTCAGGACCTTGTGCTTGCCAGGCAGGCGCTTAATGCTGTTGAGCTATATCCCCTGCCCAGTGTTTGTGTTTTATAGCTCTGGTCTCTTATTTTACTGTTGACTGTGCAGAATACTGCTGCTGATTGACTTATAAGCAGGCAAATAAATAGTTGAGGTAGCTAGTGGGTTATATATTATGTATAATAAATAGCTCCAGATTATCCCCTTTGGGTTAAAAGTAGGGGAAAATTTGTTGTTTGAATGGCCCATACTTATTAAATGGCAGGATTTGTCACCAGCTATCCAATAAGTAGTTATATGTAATTTTTTAATGTTATTAGTGACTTCTTTTTTGAGACAGCATCTGACTATGTAGTTCAGGCTGACCTTGAACTGACTGTATAGCCCAGGCTGGCCTTGAACTGGTAGTGATCCTTCTGTCTCAGCCTCCTGAGTGCTGGAATTATAGGTGTGTGCCATCATACCCTGCCTAATAAGTTCTGCATGTGCTTCAGAAAGTGTCACGATGGTTTAATACACGTCTATGAAAGTTGTTCTCCATTGAATTTAGCATTAGCAAGAGAAAAATTTAATGACTCAAAATGGATGAACATTTCAGTGGTTAGATTTTTGGATAAGTAATATTTTTTATGTCCTAGTCAACCAGAATATTTTCCAGTTCATTGTTACTTAATGAAAAATTAAGATGTACCATTATATGAAAAAAGAGTTTTGGCTACTCAGTGTATGATTTATTTTAAGGTTAAATAATTTTTTGTAGATTTTTATATGAGCTCAGAACAATAATGCATATAAATTAGTTGATGTTCTTTGCTTGCTGTTAAATGTTTGGGCACTTTTATTCTTATTGATGCATGTTGGTAATGCAGAATGAGATTCACTTTGGTATACTGATACCGTAATATAATATTTTCATCTCTATTCTTTCCTCTTTTCCCTCTCTCCTCACTCTGATGCTCTTTCTCATCTCTAAGTCTACCTTCCAGTTTTGACTTATCTCAATTCTTTTTTAATTTTTACATTGCTTATATAAAAGAAAATATGGGGTATTTAAGATTGGCTTTTTTTTGCTTAACAAGTGGTCTCTGCTGTTTTTAATAGCCAAATAATACTCCATTGTGTATATTTGCAGTGCATTTTCTTTATCCATTCATTTGTTTATAATCATCACATGTTATTTTTCTTTCAACACAAAATGTTAATGGAGGGCCAGCCAGATAGCTTAGCAGGCTAAAGCACCTACTTAGGCAGAGCTCAATGGCTGGGGTTCAACCCCCAGTGTGCCATGGTGGCATGCGCCTATAATCCCAGCACCTGGAAGGCTGAAAACAGGAGAGTCACTACAAGTCTGATCTACATAGTGAGACCCTGTAGACCCTGTACTAAATACATATTAAGAAAAAAAAGTTGATGGATATATTGGGCTTTTTCCCCATAAACTAAAGCCTCAGTATTCAGATTTAATTGCAGTGCTGATACTTGCAATAAATAAGTGGGTTTGAGGCTGCAGTTTGGGCGTGCCTCTAAAAGACCCACCATCACTGCCCAAAACTGTCTGCATTGCTCAGCCATTGTGGATTGTGCTGCTATAAACACGGGTATTAATGCTTTTGTTTTTAACAAATTGTAATAATTTAAAATGTGTCTTTTACAGGGAGCTTTTGGTGCCCTTCAGAAAATATGTGAAGATTCTGCTGAGATTTTAGATAGCGATGTTTTAGATCGCCCTCTCAACATCATGATTCCCAAATTTTTACAGTTCTTCAAGCACAATAGCCCCAAAATAAGGTATTTATGTAGGTAGTGTTAATTGTAAATGATACAAGCCTGGCTACTCCCTTATTTTACATTATACAGTATTTTTGTGATTAGCAAAAAATAAAGATGTTCCACAAAGGTGAGCATACATGACTGGTTTACTGCTTTAATAATAAATCCTATAAAATGCTGACTCTTCCTATTTCTATTAAATTTTATATAGTTCTCTACCTTCAGAATGGTTAATTGTGTTAATATGCTCTTTTTAAGTTCTTTTGTTGAAAGCTAAAATTAGTTGAGAATTAGTGACCTTTTTCTCTTACACTCCCATTTTTAGTCCCAAAGCTGATCTGTTCTCTGCTTTTCCTCATCCTGTGTTAAGTAAACTAAATGATTGGTTTTGGTTTGGTTTTGTTTAGTTTTGTTTTTGTATTTTTAGGGAAGGGTCTACAGGGTGTTCAGGGTCTCACTTACTAGATCAGACTCCTAGTGATTTGCCTGTTTACAGCCCCCGGAGAGCTGAGATTACAGGCTTGTACCATCATGCCCAGTCTCAATTGCTTTCTCAGCACGCCCTGGAGGGGTGGGGCCAGCAAGGAAGGCCTGGGTATCCTCCTACCCCTGCCCCCCCAACCCCCTGTGCCTGCCTGCAGGGACTTTAATCTGCTGAGCTATTTGGCCAGCCCTTTGTTTCTGTTTTTATTTTGGTGTTTTTGAGACAGGAGTTCTCGCCATGCAATTCAGGCTGGTTTTGAGCTCTGTAGCCCAAGCTGGCCTTGAACTTCCAGCAGTCCTCCTACCTCAGCCTCCCAAGTGTATGTGTCCTATGCCTACCAGCAAGCTATTGGAATTTTAATGAAACTGTTTCATTAGATTATTTAAAATGTAAGGGTTTTTAAAAAAAATTAAAAAAATAAAAATGTAAGGGTTTTACGTATAATTTACTGGGGGAGGGGTGTTTTAAATTCAAGGAAACAGATTTTTTTTAGTCTGCTATAAAATGACATGGTAAATATAGTTAGTTGGCTAATATGGAAGTTAACTGCACCTGCTTAATCTCTGAATCCCTGCTTTCTAGAACAATTCTTGGCATGTAGGTGTCGAAGCATTAACATTTACTGTATTAAATTAGCCTTTGATAAGTGTATTGTTATTGAGCCAGTGTGATGACACAAGCACTGTAGAGACTGAGGCGGGGGATCACTGCAAGTTCAAGGTCAGCCTGAACTGCAGAGCAAGGCCCTGTCTCAAAAAGACAAAAAATAAAAAGTTTATTGTTATTGGTCATCCTATCAAGTTGTAATCATGATGTCTTCATTTTAATAGTAGAAATGTTTGAGAGACTTTGTTATGTAACGAAATATTTCATAGGCTACTGAACTTGTTTGTGTTTGGGGTCCAGTTATATAATTTTTTAATAAATTCTATAAATTTATTAGAATTTATATACTAATAAAGTATATAATAATAATTTATATACTAAATTTATATATAAAGTATATATAATAATTTGTACACTAAAAAAGTATGTAATAGGCATGTACCATTATATACTTTTTATGATAATCAAATGTCATATTACTATTTAATAGAAGTTGTTGCCTAAATGCAGTTATTCAGGAATTCAGAATTCAGTATTCAGTAGTACACAGTGTAAACTTACTAGTTGGGCTTCAAACTTTGAACTTGTATTCCAGAGTTACGGTTTCAGCAGTGTGACAGAGAGTCAGTATGAATCTGTTTGTTGCTTAAATTCTGTTTATGTCATTCTCATTTATACATCTTAACTGTGTTCTATTCAAAGTGGAAGCAACTTTATAGTGGTGTTATCTGCATAAGTAGTACATTTTCAAAATGCATTGCTACTCTTGGCACAATGCATTCTTAGAAATTCTCTGTTAACGTTTTAATTAAGGCGATGTACAAACCTTGCCTCCTTTTGGAAATCTTAACTTTTTCCTGACCAATTCTCAGATTTTAAAAAAATCCATAAGAACATTGTACTTGATATACTATAGTCAGTTATTAATTTTTTTTGTTTGTTTGTTTTTGGTTTGGTTTGGTTTGGTTTTGTTTTGGTGGAACCAGGGATTGAACTCAGGCCCTTGCGCTTGCCAGGGAAGCGCTTATTCCACTGAGCCATCTCCTCGGCCTATTAATATTAATAAACATGACTTGTTCATTAAATTTAGTAGATAATCATCTGATTAAAGCTATATGGAGGGGGCTGGTGAGATGGCTCAGTGGTCTAAAGCACCTACTTGGAACAAGCTTGGGAAAGCACAGGGACAGTGGGTCAATCCCCCAGCACCACATGCCAGCCAGCCCCGCCCCCTGGTGGGCTGAGCTGGCCACACACACACACACACAGACACTAAATAAATGTTTAAAAAAAAAAAAAAAAAGCTATATGGAAGGGCCAGCCAAATAGCTCAGTGGATTAAAGTGCCTGCAAGCAGGGGCTGGGGGTTTGATTTCTGGGCCTGCCATGCTGGCCCTACCCCCGGAGTGTGCTGAGACAGCAATTGAGACTGAGCGTGATGGCATGCGCCTATAATCCCAGCTCTTAGGCTGTAAACAGGCAGATCACTACGAGTCCGATCTAGTAGTGAGACCCTGAACACCCTGTAAACCCTTTCCTAAAATAGAAGGGAAAAAAAAGCTATATGGAGTTCAGTAATATAGAAATGTTTCCATTCAAGTGAATGTTCTTTATAACCCACTTGGGATTCTACTTTACTTCTAATACCATCTTTTTAATGTATATTTGGGTAAATATCTGCTATATAGTGTATGCATTAAACCTTCACCTTTTCGTACATACATTTGCATTACTCTACTGTCTTACATCTTACTAATATAGTTTAACTGGTACTGTGCACCTTTTCTGTGGAAGAGGGTTGGAAAATTGAATCCAGGGCTGTAGCACTGGATTACATATCCAGCCCTTTTAAAACTGCTTATTTTTATTTATTTATTTATTTATTTTATTTTTTTGCGGAGCCAGGGATTGAACTCAGGCCCTTGCGCTTACCAGGGAAGCGCTTATTCCACTGAGCCATCTCCTCAGCCCCTTATTTTTTAAAATTTTGAGATATGGTTTCATTTAAGTTTCCCAGGCTGGGCTTGAACTTGTAGACCTTCTATTTTAGCCTGCCAGAGTGCTGTGATTTCAGGCATGTTCCACCATCCCCAGTTTCCTATGTACTCATAAATTCAATATAACTGTTGGATTTAGGAAATACAGAGGCATGAATGTTTGACATCTACATTCCAGTTTTATCCCTCTTTTTTTCTTTCAAAATAATTTTATCTGCATCTAAATTATTTATGTACCGTTCACAGGATTGTTACATGTAATCTGGTGTCTTTAGTATTATGTTGCTAAGATCTGTATTGTGTTTTTGTAGTTCATTTGTTTTTGACTAGTGGGTAATATCACCTCACATGACAGACAGTTCATGTGCTTTCCTCCTCATGGCATTTGAGTGACTTCTGAGGTTGTGCCTACTTTCAGTACTGAATCGTGCTTCTAGTACCAAACTTTTGAAGAGAGAGCACCAGTGTATATTAGTAGGATTTAAAAGGCTCTAGTGACATGTGGTTAGGACTTTTGTGTGTATGTGTTGTTAGTATTGTCCACATCTTACATGTTGCTAATTAAGTTGATATTGTTCATTATTATATTGATAGTGTACTTTTCTAGTAAAAATGTTAAATAACATGTTACTGAACATATGTTACTGTTGTATTTTGACCTTTTATTTCTGTTATTTGTATTCTAGTGCTTTACAGAAATTTTTCAGTTAAGACTTTTTGTTTTTTTTGTTTTTGTTTTTGTTTTTGTTTTTTTTTTTTGCTCCTTGAATGCCTTCAGGGCACTTTTGCTTGGCTGGAGTGTTGTGGGGATCGAACTACAGCAAACTGAGGCTGCCAGCATTCTGGAAGCAGCCACTTAAAGAACTGAGCTAGGGCTGGACCCCCAGTTAAGACTTTTTGATGTTTAAAAGCTTAATATATCTGATATCTGGTAACATATACATACTTTTTTCATTTTTCTTTTTCTTTCTTTTTTTTTTCCATTTTTCTTTTTTGAGATCCCTTCCTTAGTATGTTGCCCAGGGTTCTTTCTACCACCTGGTCTAAAATGATCCTCATGCCTCAGCCTCCTGCTTGAGTCTCTAGTCACACACTGCAGTGCCCAGGTATAGATAGGGATACTTTGAGACTTCTCCAGTCTAGTAACAGCTTATTTCCTGGCACATTCATTAAAATAATCATATCATTGATTTTAAAATTTCAGGTGTCATTTATGAAGTTATTTATGGGTCTGTTTACAGGCCCTCTTTTATTCTAATGCTATTTAATGAACATACTTTCTAACTGAATTATATTTTAGGGCAAAATTTTGAACTTTTAGATTCATAGAATTTTTTTTTTTTTTTTTGCGGAACCGGGAATTGAACTCAGATCCTGGCATTTGCCCGGCAAGCGCTTATCCTACTGAGCCATCTCCCCGGCCCCTCATAGAAAATTATTATTGCAATAATGGATATTAGAATAAATGAAACCTCTGAACAGGTTAAACATTAAAAGCTCAAACTGTGAGAATAGATTGTCCTTAAAAAAAATTGTCCTCTGAAATATCTTTGCTTGGAAGGAAATGTTTATATGCTTATGTTTATAATACAGTAAATTTATGTTCTGTACCAGGATGGTATGAAAATAAGACTTACAGTTTCATAACATGTGAATGTGTCAGTTGAAATACTTCTAATATATTTAAAGAGGTTTTCTTTTTCTTTTTTTTTTTTTTTGGCAGAACCAGGGATTGAACTCGGGCTCTTGCGCTTGCCAGGCAAGCGTTTATTCTACTGAGCTATCTCCCTGGCCCTTAAAGAGGTTTTTCAAAGAAAAGTGTAAGAATGGCTAAGCAATATTTGTTCTAAAATATGTGAAGAGTATTGAGAAAAAAATTTATTTTGCAGGAAAAAAATGCCACTTATGTGTTACTAGATAAATCTGGTTCAGAACTAGATTATAGAACATGAGTTTATACCAGAAGCAATTTTCTGCTTTAGTACTGTTTAATCAGATAATATCAGGTTTTTACTTTAGTTTTACATGCACAGCTATCCATAGGGTTTCAGAATTACCATCTACATTTGTGGCCTAGATTTGATACCTGTTGCTGGGAAGTGGCATTTAGAGCTTATGTTGTGGACAGTAAGCACCTTTTATATAAATTCTAGAATTACTGAGTTTTATTAAGAACTTTTGAAATTTATATTGGGTTTTTTAATGGATTTTTTTTGTTTTGGGGGGTTTTTTGTTTAATTTGTTAGGGGTTTTTGTTTTTGGTTTTTTGGGTTAAATTGTTTATTAGGTGAGGTTTGCTTTTTGATTTTGGTGCTAAGGACTAAACTCAGGGCTTCCTGCTTGCTGGGCAAGCATTCTACTGCTGAACCAAATCCCCAGCCCCATGAAATTTATATTGGAATTGTGTTGAGTTTATCAATTCATTTAGGGAAATAGATATCTTTACACTATTAATAGCTAAAATGATTTTTTTTTAACTTTTAGCAGTCTTGAATATTCTATTCGTAGGCACTTAGTTTTCTGTGGTAGTGTAAGTGGTAGCTTTTACAAAGCATTTAATGAATTCTTTAACTTCCAGTACATAGAAAAACAACTATGCTTTGACCTTGTGGTGCACCTTTAATGTGGTTGAGCTCCCCATGCTTCACTTTTTCATGTATTATTATTTTAGATATTAGTCAGTGAGTGTTTATGTGCTTTGCCATTGCTGTTTGGGGCATAACAATTAAGACAGAAAGATTCTGTCAGAATTACATTCAGAAGAACAGATAATAATGTAATTAGAGGCAATGATGAACATAGTAGAGATACAGTAGAGGAAAACTCATTGATAGAGGTGTTTTACATAGAGTTCTCTGCAGTGGTCATATTTGTGCAGATCCTAAAAAAACTTAAGTAGTAAATCTTTAAAAGATTGCAGTGAACATATTAAGGCACAGAACAGAAGTTGAGGGCATTGAAATTAGGAAGAAACCTTTCAGATCAGCAGAAAAGCCTTTATAATATAGTAGAAATTGAAGTCTGAGGATTAGGGAAGAACAAGAGAATGTCTTGAGCTTTTGCTCAGCAAACCACCATAGAGCTGAATTCAGCTCATGACCTGCAAGCTTAAAAGAACATTTATATTTAAAAGATCATATTTAAGGAGGGGAAATGAGGACCCTAGAAAGATGACTTGTATCACCATGAAGATTAAAATATTTACCATTTGGCCTAGACTAGGTTTTGTTGGAGAAGGCTGAGCAAGGATGTATAATGATCTTAATTATGTGTGTCAAGAGGTTGAAGTGTTCGATACAGTACAATTTGGGAATACACCAAGAACATACTGCAGTAACCCTGCTAAAGGATTGAGTTTGGTATACCAGAACACATACCCTATTTTCCATTTATCATTTCAAAAGGAATATATACATACTATTTTTATATCTATAGTTTATAAAATAAGTTGTATTCCTCAACTAATCTCTTTAAAGCTGTCTACTCTTAAAAATTTGCATTTATCCTTTCAGATATTTTTTCACTTGCTTCAGAAATACTAATACTGATCTACAACTTAACATGTTTTCACTTAGCATATCATCCACATTTTTCTGTTAGTAACAAATGCATTTAATTTTCAATTTTGATCCTAGATCTCATGCTGTGGCATGTGTCAATCAGTTTATCATCAGCAGGACTCAAGCCCTGATGATGCACATCGATTCTTTTATTGAGGTAAGACTTGTCATCACTGTCTTTGTTTTTGAACCAGTTTTTTCTGTTACTAATTTTCTACTTAGGATTTAAACACTGACTATGAAATATTAAGTATGTTTGATTGCTTGATTGCTTTTAAATTCTTCTCGATATACTGTGCGGTTGAGTGATCTGGTATATAATTATAAACTTAGCACCAAAGAGAGACTGAAGTCCAGTCAAGGCAACTTAGTAAGACCCTGTCCTAAAACAAAAACGTCTAGGCATGTAGCTCAGCAGTAGAGTACCCTTAGGTTCAGGATATATGTATTATATATAATATATGTGTATATGTAATATAATGTTTACATTTCACCTCCCTGCTCATGTACAGTATTTGAAATATGAAAAAGATGAGGTTGGATAAAGTTAATAAAGAATCTGAAAACCAAAAAGACAGTATGGGAGGGGAAGACAGTATGGTTACATGCCTAGTGATGATCTATAGCAGATTATATCTGCTATAATGGATGGAAACAATAGACTGCTTCTGAAATGATGGTCCCATAGTATCTCCATGTACAGCAGGGCATGCTGCTTAAGTTTGTGTACTTACTAAAGTTTCTGATGTTTGCACAGTGCTGAAATCGCCTGAGGATGCATTGCTCAGATCCCCATTGTGAAGCAATGTATGACTGTATCTCTATTTTTTTGGTTCTGAGAATAAAATCAAAGGTGTCAAGAAAGAAAATGACTTAAATATCACGCATCTGTGATGACACTTTTTTTTTTTTTTTAATGTATTTAGTACAGAGTTTACAGGGTCTCACTAGTAGATCAGACTCCTAGTGATCCTCCAGTTTTCAGCCTCCCAAGAGCTGGGATTTTTCTCAGTCCCCGTCTCAGCGTGCCCCAGGGACAGGGCTAGGGCTAGGGCCTGGGCCGGCGTCAGTGCAGCTCACCAGGGATTGAACCCTGGCCAGTCTACTTAAGCGGGTGCTTTAATCCTCTGAGCTATCTGGCAGGCCCCAACACTTTAGATCTTTTGCTTAAAGCAAGAAGATGATAAGATCATACATTTTGGCCATAAGTCCTAAGTGCTGCAATCCCTTTTCAAAACCTGTGCTACCTGATAATAGCAACTGAAAGGATTATTAAGATTCCTTATGCACTTTCACTTTTAATTTCACTGAATGAAATTTTATTAAATATTCCATTTATTTTCAGCTTTTTTAACCCTGTAGAGGTCAGACTACTAATGGTAATACTATTGGGAAATTACAAGAAGGGGGAGATTGTGTTATTTTTAGAAAATTGCTTACAATGACACAATACTTTCTGAGCTTTTTTGCAATGGGATGTCACTGTGTTGCCTCAGTCTTGCTACCACTCCTGGCTCTTTCCAAGGAGATGTTATCAGTCGACTTCTAGAGTATTAGCATAAATTTAACCAGTTATAAGTTAAAACCAAAATATTTTTAGAATGTTTTATTGAGTTATGAATCAGGCACTGTGCTTCATGCTAGGGGTGCAGAATGTTTTGCTAAGAAGTGTTTTTTGAGTCTACTTTGGAGTAGAGGTGACATAGTATATTGGGTGATAACAAAGGCCTAAAGACTATTGTAGCTATATGAGCTGGCCCACTGTATTTAAGTAATATTTTCTATTTCATCATCTGTAAAGTGAGACTAATAATTGACCCACCTTCTTGGTATATTACAAAGCGGGCTTCTATAAGTAAATTGAAACAAAGCCTGCCATAAAGTAAGCTCCTTTTTCTTAGCTCTAGTATTTAGAGTTGCAGTTTCTGTTAGTATAGTAGTAGCTTAGTATTCTTTCACTTTAATAAAGGAAACAGTGACAGACATACTAGCATCTTATAAGAAAATATAGTACATTCTCTCTGGAAACAAAAATTCCTCCTGCCTATGTTCAGCATGTGGGGCAAGAACATTTCCCAACGTAATTAAAGTATTTTGCATTACAGACATTCCTTGTTTAACAACCCAGCTGTTTAATTAATGGTTGTTCTGACTTTGTATGGAGGCATATTGTTCAGACTTAGGACTCACCTCTCATAGTTATCTTCTTTAGTATAATTCTGAACATTTTATTTATAGAGCCTTAATAGTTTTGGGGCTTGCTGTACAGTATACTTTATACAATACTGTAATTTTTGCTGATTGTACTATACAGCACTATAGTTTTATGTTTTCTTGGCATGACAGTGTTACACGTAACGGTTCTGTAAATAAAAGCAAAGTTAGCAAGTTGGGAGTTTCCTTTGACCGTTGCCTTATTGTGAATATTGTCATGTGTGTCTTGTATACAATTCCTCATTTATAGATCAGCTCGTTTAACAACTTAGCCACAGGACATAACTTGGTTATTAATAGAGGAGTATCTGTATTGATAAATACAATATTAATACTTTTTTGCTATTTGATGATCCCTACAAATTTCTGTTTTCCATCCTGTAAGAGCACTATGTATGTCAACAACTGGTGGAGGTTGTTGGTGTATGGTAGGTCTAAGTAAATAAATGGAGTGATTTTTTTTTTTTTTTTAAATTATCAGTATACCGTCAAGGGCTGATGTTATGATTGCTAACTCACAGAAAATTGAGGGAAAATGTATGGGTTGCCAGTACATAGATATAGCACGCATACTTTGGCAAACCTGGATAGGAAGGATATAAGTGTAACAAAAGCAGTGTCTGTTGAGAAAAGCATTCTCCTCTGGCTGTATAAAATACTTTTTAATAAAGAGAAGCCTACAGTTTTATGGTACCAAGAGAAAAGACTTAGGGAAATCCGCATTTTTTTAAAATACTACAAAAGGGCCGGCAAGATAGCTCAATGGACTAAATACCTGCTTAGGCAAGCACAGGGACCTGGTTCAGTCTCAGCACCACATTCTGTGCAGGCCTCATCCCCAGGCTCGCTGAGCTGGCCTTGGAGACCTGGTGTGGTGGCACACACCTGTAATCCCAGAGCTGGGGAGGCTGAAAACAGAGGATCACTATGAGTTCGAGCTGTGTAGTAAGACCCTGCACACACAAAAGCTACAGTAATATTCCACACACTACCATGTTTAATTCTTGAAATTCTTTGTCTTTTTTAGAACAAGGTTTCAGAATTTTTTTAAATATTTATTTGAGCTCCTGTAAAGTGATTGGAATATACTCGTCTTTACTTCTTTTTAAAAACATTATTTTTTTTAAATTATGTGAAACTTATTTTTTTTACTGGCTTTCAGTTGTACTTACATGTGTGTATACATGTGAAATACAGTGAAACTTTTGGTTTTTGCATCCCCACTTCTCAAATTACTTACTCTTAGAGTAGAAGCTTATTAATGTACAGTACCAAATCGAGTATGGATTTAAAGTTTCATGAAAGCTAAATTTACTTCTTCTGTTGGCAAGCAGCTAGCAAGGTAATTAAATTACTAACATTCCCTTCATTCTCTTATCTATAAAATTGAATAGTAACATCTTAGAATTTTGGAAATGGAATGAAATAGTCTTTTGTCCTATAAGACATTCTATTTTAATTTACAGAGAAATTTGTGGTTATAATTACTACTGATATAACTTTGTCAGTAGTTGACTTGGTAAAAGCAGCAATTTAGGCTTAGGTTGTTACTGCTACTGGTGTGTAAGCTGAATAAATGACTCCCATGTTATAAGGTTTCAAGGTCCTTTTAAAGTATAACTGTACTCTGTCAGAAAGAATGGCTTTTCATCCTTTTTCAAAATCCAGTCTTTAGTAATTATTCCAAATTAAGTTGTCTTATGATCTATAGGACAGATACCTTTTTTTCCCACTGCTGGGGATTGAACCCAGGGTCTTAGCACTGAGCCGCATTCCAAACCTTTCTATTATTTTGAGGCAGGGTTTCACCCAACTATCCTAGTCTGAGCACAACTTGTAATCAGGCGTGTACTAGGCAAATTCAGTGTTTTTTTTATATTATATCATCAAAGGGTGTTTTTGAATATCACTGGGTTGTGAATTACTTATTATCATGTATAAACCTTTCTAATGTTTTGAAATTTTTAAACTAGAAAAAACTTGTTTCTCATACAATAGAATCTCTTTGCATTGGCTGGTGATGAAGAACCAGAGGTACGGAAAAATGTGTGCCGAGCACTTGTGATGTTGCTTGAAGTTCGAATGGATCGCCTGCTTCCTCATATGCATAATATAGTTGAGGTAACTCAAGCATTTTAAATATTGTTTCTTACCTTAACCACAAGAGCAGTAGCAGGCACATATAATGTAAAAAAGCTACTGTTTTTGAATATGATATATTGGGGGTATAAAATAATTGTCTTAAAAGCATAAATTGATTTAGGTTCTTTGTGAGACTTAAGGTAATAACAGGAAACTAAAGTAGGTAGCTCTCAGGGGCAGTTAAATTTTAATCACAATAATGAAATATTTATATTATTTATGAAAAACAGGTTACACTGATAATTAAACTTTGGGAAATTAATGTTCTTGGGTCATTGGAATTTTGAGTTAATGTTAAGAATTTGCTTTCTAACTATTGATAAAATTCATCTGATCAACTCTGTCAACTACCCTTATGTGTCTTTTTTGTGTGTGTGTGGCTGGCTCAGCCTGCCCTGGGGGCAGGGCTGGCATGTCTTGTGGCCAATCAACTCTGACTTGGGCAAACGATAAGATTACTGGGTAAAAAAGATATTGATCCATTGAAGTTTTAGCAGACCATTTAAATTTTAAGAGGTTTATTTCAGCCTGTATGCAATTAAAATGATTATGTTATGAAAGTATATTAATCATAGTTTAACCACATTTAGGGGATAGGATATTGTTGCAATAAATTGTTTTGACACTGCTCAGTAATACTATAGTCCCTTTGTACCATAATGCCAAGCATAGGCATATTTGAGTATTATATTGCTCTGCAAGTACCTTAGTGTGATATCTAGCTCTTGCCTTTTACTTACAAAGTTATTTAGTTTTTGGAGAGGGGATTTAAGATGTGTAGCAACGTCTCAAATGTTAGGAAAGAGTTTAGGAATAAGGATTTATAGAGGCTATTACAAGCCTATTCTGTGAAATATCAAGTGAGATTAGTTGGAAATTTAAGGAAAGAGTTTGGAATTGATCAAGGTTTAAAAATTTTGACTTTACTAGGTCACAACTGGAAAGACTGATTTATAATGCTTTAGTTCTTTACAACATTCAGAAATACTTAGTAGCATGACAGTAGGACATGTAGT